GCACAAATTAACCAGGGGAAGAGCATCACACATGCCCTGAAACATATATCTGATGATGTGAAGACTCACAAGAACCCCGCCCTGAAGGCCCAGAGTGGTCCAGTACGAAGCGACCCCAAGCCATTCTCTGCACCTAAACCAGGAGTCAGCCCATCCCCCAAGCCAACCACACAGAAGGATCTGGCTGTACCTGAACTGGAGGGCAAGAAGTGGAGAGTGAGAAATCGGGAGAGTGTTTCTAACCTAGTGATTGATGATGACACAGAGCTGAAACAGCTGGCTTACATATCCAAGTGTGTCAACATGACATTGCACATCAAGGACAAAATTAAGTCCATTACAGTAGGTAACTGTAAGAAACTCAGTCTGGTGTTCAATGACATGGTGGGCATCATGAAGGTAACCAATTGCAGGGATGTCAAAGTTCAAGTAGTGGGTAAAGTGCCAACCATTTCCATCAGCAAAACAGATGGCTGACACGTTTACCTGAGCAAGAATTCCCTGGATTGCAAGATAGTGTCAAATCTTTGTTTTAAAGATTTTATTTGAGAGAAGTAGAGAGGGACAGAGTGCACAAGCGCAGGAGGGTGGGCAGGTGGAGAAGCAGGCTCCCTGCTGCAGGGAGCTTGATGCAGGGCTCAATCCCAGGACCCTGGCACCATGACCTGAGCTGAAGGCAGATGCTTAACTGACCGAGCCACCCAGACAGCTCAGTGCCAAATCTTCTGAGATGATTGTCTTTAATCCTACAGAAGGCAGTGACTTTAATGAATTCCCAGTCCCTGAGCAGTTCAAGATCCTATGGAATAGGCAGAAATTGCTGGATAAGCAAAGTGCCACTGGGTTCTTTGTCCTCCCCCTCACACCATGGGATAAGTCTGTATCAGGACGGTTCTTTTCTAGATTTCCTTTCTGCTCTTAAACTGCTTCTCTGCTCTGAGAAGCCCAGCTACCTGCCTTCGCTGAAATATACCTCAGGCTGAGATTTGGCGCGGGAGAGCAGGTCAGCTGATCTTCTGTAGGAAGGTACGGCTTTTCCCTATCACCCCAACGACACTGCCAGTCCATTCTTAGGGAACCGCACACCAGGACTGGTGTGTTTTAGCTTTCAGCCTTTGGGGTTATTTGACCAACAGTCTTTCGGGAAGAATAAAGCAGTCCCCAGGGATTAACAGATCAGAATGTTCACACAACTTCATCTTTTTCTTTTTAATATTTTATTCATGAAAGAGAGAGAGGCAAAGACACAGGCAGAGGGAGAAGCAGGCTCCAGGCAAGGAGCCCGATGTGGGACTCGATCCAGGGTCTCCAGGATCACGCCCTGGGCTGAAGGCAGGTGCTAAAGCACTGAGCCACCCAGGGACCCCCCAGTTCATCTTTTTCTAACACTGAGCATGAAGGTAGCAGAGGCTGGTGTGATTCTAGGCTGTTCTTCTAACGAAACTAATTTTTTCACTGCTGACCAGTGAGGCAGGGGTTGCACTGGACTAAAGGCTGAAGCTTGGCCATCTAGCATTCCAAGCAACATGGTTTCCTCTAAGCATTCCTTTTATTCTGCATTCCACCCTGGGTGGGCCTGAACCTGAGAGTGCAGGTTCTCCTGTATCAGCTGCTGGCAGTGCCTTGCACCCAGGCCAGTTAAAGGAGTCTTGGCCCCTTCCTTTCACTGGGGTGGGTCCCTGCCCAGCACCTTCCTATAGAGACAACTTAGACAAGAAAAGAAAAGGGAAACCCACCATTCCGAGGAGGAATCTGGAATTCCTTCCTCCTTCCGTGCTAGATGCCTCTCCACCTTCACTGCCTCCTTTGCCCTGTCATGCTCAACTGCTTTTGGTTTCTGTCCGGGCACCTGATCAAAGGACTAAAGTCTCCACTGCAGCCTGGTCTTGGGTCTTATGTAAGAATCTCGCACAGCACTGCTGATGTAAATTACAGTTTTTCTCTCTAGGACACTTACCAAAATATGCAACTTTTTTAGTGGGAGGAGATTGTCCCGTAACCTCTACCCGTTTTCTGAGGCCTGTGGAAATAAATCTTTAGGTACTTAAAGTTATACAGGAAATAGAATCAGATTAATGCCAAACTTGGAAAAAAAAAGATGAGTCTCTATTATAGAAAAACCACTGGAACCCTAATGAAGACGTTAAAACGTGCTAACAGCCTAACAAAAGAGCTGACAATGGAATGAAGAGGAAGATAGTGAAGAGATCCCAAATAGATCATATAGGATTTAGTGATTGAAGGTGGTGACGGACGAGAAGTGGGGAAAGTTTAAACTGGAGAATTGGATGGAGGGTGGTACCACTGTATTGAGGGTCCAGATTTTATTGAAAAGATTATGAGTTTTGGACAACCTTTTTCTAAGATTTATTCATGAGGGACAGAGAGAGAAAGAGGCAGAGGGAGAAGCAGGCTCCCCAAAACAAGCCCAATGTGGGACTCGATCCCGGACCCTGGGATCATGCCCTGAGCTGAAGGCAGACACTCAACCGCTGAGCCACCCAGGCGACCTGAGTTTTGGACAAACTTTGAGGTGACAATGGGATATCCAAATGGAGATATTCAGTTGGATGTTGAGTATGTTCTGGAGCTCAAGAGAGATTCCTAAGACATAGGTGGAGATTTAAAAAGTGCTGAGCTGTTAACAAAACCAGTTAGACAAAAAGTATGGCTTGATAAAAAGAATGTGCCTAAGGACACAGCTCCAGGGAAGAGCATTTATGCGATCAGCAGAGGAAGAAGTGCCTGTAAGATAACCAGAATGAACAGCAATAACAGGCAAAAAAATAAATAAATAAATAACAGGCAAAACCAATGGACAGGCTCTAAAGTTAGAGACCTCCTGAAGCAGTAGCAGATCTAAGAAACAAAACTGTTAGAATGGCAAAGAACAGCTTTGCATAGCCGTTAAGGGCAAGTATTTGGAAAGCTAAGCTAAACCTGGAGGAAAAAATGCTCAAAAAATCAACTCAAGTAAAGGACATGAGTAATTAAAGGGGACTCTCCGTGTCTTCATCTATAAAGTGAGTTCTAATTAAGTGAATTCCTAGACCCTTTCCAGTTCTAAAATTCTGATCCTATGAGCTAGTGTTGAAGAACAAATTAGAATCTGGAATTCTATAAACAGTAACTCTTTCTGCTCACTTGCACCTCCAGCCATCCCACCCCCCACCCCATTCACACCATCCACAAGGTTCCCACAGTTCTCAGTCTTACCATTGACTTTAGAGTTGGGTACTTGACCTGTTTGGGCCAATAAGAGACCTTCTCTAGGATTTTAAGATTGGAAGTAAGAAAGGAAAGACAGCATTTTTTTTCTGGGTGATGGAAACAATGTATGTAAAATCTGGAGCTTATGGTAACTGTGATTTGCAGCAAGGTGCTTAAAAAGACACAAGCAGAAAAGGTGAGAGAAAGCTGCCTGGGTTTTCTGAAGTGCTTCAGGTCCTAGTTCCAGTCCGCTGTTAGAATATCTCCTGAGTTTAGTCTGAGCCCCCATAGGAAGGAGAAAAATGAGAGATGGAGCTATAAAGTAATACCTACAACGGAGGATCTAGGTGCCTGGCTTTGGTTACAACTGGAGTAGTGGCTGTGGGATGGAGAGGATGGGAAATCCATTAACATTTCACAGAGTCACTAAAACTTTAATAAACGTTTACCAGGCTGAAAAAATGAACATGTACAAAACCATGTGGTCCTGATCTTGGTGCTCAGCTTTCACAACATAAGCAATGTTAATTAATACTCTCATTCATTCATTAATGCTTATTAGAAAGTCACATCCTACCTCTTTTCTGTCTTCCTACATGTGTTAACTATAAGTTGCTAACATAACCATCCAATAAAATGCTAAGCAGTTGACCATCCATGGCACACCCTGCTATCCTAAGTACCCTGACTCAACTGTCAGTGTCCCTCCATTCCATCAGAGGGGCGACAGCCAAGATTTTACTTGCTAAGACAGGTGGAAACGGACTCTCATTGATCAAGAAGCTCCAGCCTCAGAAGTCAGGCATTAGAGCAGTTGATGGCAAAAGGCCTTCTCCTCCAGCTGAGATTTTGGTGGGCCTGGCTGCTGTTCAGGAAGATTCAGATTCCTCTCTGGCTCCAGGAATGGCAAGCACCGCTCTTTCTGGGGATGCAGCTCAGCTGGTACTTCTGCGCTAAGTTAGTGAGACAAACTGATAATTCTTTGATGATTGAAAGGGCAGTTGGTCCAGGACATACTTCAGCATCAGGTGGCTCCTACAGTTCTCTATCTTACTGGCAGGCAAATAAGTTGGTCCAATGTCTGCATGAAAGCCAGTCTGGCAATATCCATCATACAAATGCACATACCCTCTAGTACAGAGATTCCAGTTCTCAGAATTTACCCTACATATATATATACTTACAAGTGTGAGAAATAAAGACAAGGTTTAAGACTATTCATTCCAACAAAAGATTGGAAATCCCAAAGTCCGACCATAGTGAAGTGGCTAAGTAAACTAAAGTACATTCAAACCACAGAATACTACGCAGTTGTTAAAAAAAGAATGGGTAGGCACTTTGTCTACTAATATGTAATGACATTCATGATATATGGTTAATTAATAAAAGTAATGTGCAGAGGTGTTTAGAAAAGTAATGTGTAGTGGTGTTTACAAAATGTTGTCATTTATGCTTAAAAAGAAAAAGTCTGCATTTGCATCATTTGTATTCTTTTGGATACAAATAGAAAAATCTCTGGATGGGTGCACAAAATAATTAGTTATAAAAAGTGATTCCCTCTATAAAAAATTTGATGGTGGAGGATATAAGAAAAGGATTTTCACTTACACAACTGTCTATGCCTTTTGAGTTTTACATGATTCTTAAGTTTCCCCATTAAAAAGAATAAAAGTTTACTTAAAAAATAGGGGTGGTGATATTTTCAAAGTTCTTCCCAATTATTGTCTATAAATCAGTGAATGCACGTGAATAATTATTCCACATGAAATCAGAAAGATAACAATTACATGTGCATTTTCCATAATGCTGAATTTAATTTGAAGGAACATAACATCCTTTATTCTAACATCCTTTATTCTTGATTAAGTACTTTGTATGGAGATGTTAGTAGATAGTAGTTATCTACAGGAGTCAATGTACTATTTATTTACACAATGGACAAAATTAAAAGCTGGCATCATGATATCAATTCCTCAAATTTAGAATCATGTAATTAAAAAGCACAGAGTCACTGATTTAGAGTTAGCTCTTGCTCTCATGTTGAATAATCTATTTTTACATGTTATTTTGAAAGGCATTCCTCCTGTGTATCTCATGGTGTCGACTAAGTGATGAATTATAGCTGAAGGCTTTTCCACATTCATTACATTCATAAGGTTTTTCTCCAGTGTGGTGTCTTTGATGTTTCTTAAAGGATGAATCATGCCTGTAGGCTTTTCCACAGCGGTTGCATTCATATGCTTTCACTCCTGTATGAACAGTTTTATGGTTGCTAAGGTGTATCCTCTGCCTAAAGGCTTTCCCACACTCCTTACATTTGTAGGGTCTCTCCCCAGTATGGATTCTCTGGTGATGTGTTAGATACGCTCTATGACTAAAGGTTTTACAACACGCAGTGCATGCATAGGGCTTCTCCCCAGTGTGAATTCTTATATGTTCACTAAGATGTCTAATCTGTCGGAAGGTTTTCCCACATTCATTGCATGTAAAGGGTTTCTCTCCAGAATGAGTTCTCAAGTGTTGGATCAAGCTAATGTTCTGGCTGAAAGCTTTCTGACATTTATTGCATACATAGGGTTTCTCTCCAGTGTGAGTTCTATGATGCTGATTAAGAGATGAGCGATGTCTGAAGGCTTTGCCACATTCTTCACATTCAAAGGGTTTCTCGCCAGTATGGATCCTCTGGTGTGTAGTAAGGGATGCGCTTTGACTAAAGGCTCTTCCACATTCCTTACACCTGAAAGGCTTTTCACCAGTGTGAATTCTCATGTGTTCAGTAAGATGAATGGGTTGTTTGAAGATTTTTTCACATATATTACATTCATAGGTTTTTGTTTTTATGTAACTTGGATGATTAATCAAGTCTAATTTGTATTTGTTTCTCTGTCTAGGTGTATCACATTTGCGGTGCCTCTGCTCTACAATAACTTTTGAACTGACAATATTTTCCCCATATTTGTTGGTTTCTTGGCCACTCTTCTTGTGGGTCAGGATGGCTTGCCTTACATCTCTTCCATGGGTTTCCGGGTGCCTTTCTAAGTCACCATCATATTTAGAGACTTTTCTCAATGTGGAATAGATGACATCATCTCTCAGGAACCCTTCCATCATAATGCCATGATATAACTGTTCCTGGAAAATGTCATTCTTTGCAGTTGATACATCGGTTTCTGTTTTATTCTTCAAGTCTGGAAGAATTGGAAAAAATGCAAATAACTCATATTCGTTATGCTTTGAAAAATTAATTATTGTAATGAGTATGAAATAGAAATTTAGAGAACTATACATATAAAGCACAAGATTTTGATTACAGTTGACTCTTGCACAACATGGGGTTTGGGATACCAACCCCAACACAGTACAAAAACCTATGTACAACTTTTGACTCCCCCAAAAACTTAACTATTAATACCCTACTATTGCCTAGAAGCCTTACTGATAAGTCAATTAACATTTTTTGTTTACCTATCATATACCATATTCTTACAAAAGAGAAAATGTTAAAAAATTACAAGAAAAAAATACATTTATAGCACTGTATACCACACATAAGTGGACCCATTTGGTGCAAACCAGTGTTCTTCAAGGGTCAACTGCACAATTCAATATGGTTATGCAACCAGGGGAGGTAATGGGAAGCTAAGAAACAGTAAATAAGGAAAAGGTATGATTTTATATAGAGTGTAAAATTTGAGCCCTTTAGACCTGTTTGTTTGTTCTTTCTAATACTAAATAATGAAATTTCAGAGCTATGTCTTATGAATGTCTTTTTAGATTGACAACTACTTTTGGAAAACAATCTCAGAAAGATAAAAAGATATCCCTCTCCCCACACCAGCAGGAGATGCTTGTTCAAAAAATAAGGTCTGAACTAAGAACTTTCATAAGAACATTAAGCTTTTATTGAAACTTGTATTAATATCTACATTGTTCTATTTTCTTTTTTTTTTAATTTTTTATTTATTTATGATAGTCACACACACAGAGAGAGAGAGGGGCAGAGACATAGGCAGAGGGAGAAACAGGCTCCATGCACCGGGAGCCCGACATGGGATTCGATCCCGGGTCTCCAGGATCGCGCCCTGGGCCAAAGGCAGGCGCCAAACCGCTGCGCCACCCAGGGATCCCCATTGTTCTATTTTCTGTGGTTATTAATCTGTCTCTAGAAAGGAGACTTGTAAGAAGCCAGACTATGTTGCTATTATTGCTATGTTCTATGAAAATATCTTTTTTTCTTGAGGGGGTGAATAGCAGAGAAAGAGGAGAAAGAATCTTAAGAAGGTTCCATGCTCACTGGGCCTCAGTCTCACAACCCTGAGATCATGACCTAAGCCAAAATCAAGGGATGAACACTTAACTGATTGAGCCACCCAAGTGCCCCTGAAAATATCTTTTAACCTTTAAAATTCTGACTGGCTTTTTTACTTGATAATTTGTTGTATCCATTACCTATATTTCAACTGATAGAACTATAGCCTGATAGGTATAACTTCTTATAAGATTTTCTGGTCAACACAAAAGGATCATTAGTACTTCCAAATTCTTAATGACTAAAGGCAATAATAGAGTCTATGTTCTATAGACTTCTGATTCTAGTCCTGAATATGTGAGCGGGAAGAGAAGAACACAGGGAAAGAGAGAAGCCATCTATGGCCCCTTCCCCAATTCAGTATCCAGGCCTGAAGAAAGACCAAACTACTGAAGAAGAGGAGATTTAACTTTGAAATCAAGTTGGGAGTTTTTGTTATTCCATAAAACTAAACATTTTACTAAAATCAAACTGTTATTATTATTTAAAGGGACTGGATCATCTAGATGAAAATCATGGTAGCTTTTATTATTTTCATTATTATAAGTTTAAAAAGAAAAAATCCAAGAGGGGGATCCCTGGGTGGCTCAGCGGTTTAGTGCCTGCCTTTGGCCCAGGGCATGATCCTGGAGTCCCGGGATTGAGTCCTGCATCAGGCTCCCTGCAAGGAGCCTGCTTCTCCCTCTACAGGTGTCTCTGCCTCTCTCTCTTTGTATCTCTCATGAATAAATAAATAAAATCTTTAAAAAAGAAAAAATCCAGGAGATTATATAAACAATTATTGGAATTAATAATGGGGCAAAAGCAAGGTCACTAGCTATAAGATCAATATGTAAAATCAACTGTGCCATTACATATGAATAACAAAACATAATTCAAAAATATATACCATCTACAATAACAAAATATAAGGTCTTCAAGATAAATAAATCTAACAAGAGATATAATATGTACAAGACCATTATAGGGAAAATTCTGAAACTTTATTTTTAAAAGTTAGGAAATATCAATAAATGGAGCAATATACCATGTTTCTGGATAATAAAACTCAAAATCATAATGTTAATTCCCCCAAAAGTTGATCTACAAATTCAATTTTATTCCAATCAAAATACACTAGAGTATTTGCGTGTGTACACGCATGTGTGTGTGAAATCTAGTGCATCATTATATACTTTGTATGGAGGCTAAGAATAAACCAAGATGGGGGCACCGAGGTGGCTCAGTTGGTTAAGCATCTACCTTTGGGTCAGGTTGTAGACCCTGGGATTCTATGATGGAGCCCCACGTTAGGTCCCCTGCTCACTGGGGGCTCACTGCTTCTCCCTCTTCCTCTGCCTCCCTCCACCATTGCTTGTGTGCGTTCTCTCTCTCTCTCTCTCTCTCTCTCTCTCTCTGCCTTGTCTCTCAAATAAGCAAAAGACATGAAGAGAAATCTCACAGAGGAAGACATAGACATGGCCAACATGCACATAAATAAATGAATCTTAAAAAAAAAAACAGGGCAATTCTGAAGAACAAAGCGGGAGAACTACCTCTACCAGATATTCAGTTTCATTATTAAATAATAGTAATGAAGACAGTGTGGCATTAGAGTAGGGATAGAATCAAAGAACAGAACAGAAGAGTGCCTAGAACAGACCCAATATATAAGGAAACTTGACAGGTAACAGTGTGGCATTCACTATTAAATAAATGGTTCCTGGACTGATTATCCATGTGGGGAGATCCTCACGTCACACTACATATAAAATAATTCCAGGTCAATTAACTCTAAATATGAAAAACCAAATTTTAAAAATATAAGATAATATATATTACATATAACTTTTCTATAAATCAAGAAAAAAGATAATAGAACAATTGACAAAGGATACAAACAGGTACTTTACATCAGGGAACTCTGGATGGTCAATAAACATGAAGAGTATGCTCCTTTTGTTAGTAATCGGGAAAATGAAAGACAAAGTACCATATTCACCTAAAAATTTACAATAATTTTTTTAAAAAAGATTTTAAAAATTTATTTATCTTGGGGGGTCACAGAGGAAGAGAAGGAATCTGGAGCAGACTCTATGCTGAACATCAAGCCCAGCATGGGGCTCAATTCCATGAACCGGAGATCCTGACCTGAGCTGAAATCAAGAGTTAGATGCTCAACCAACTAAGCCACCCAGGTGCCCCTACAGTAATTTTGAAGTTTGACAAAGCCAAGTGTTGACAAAGATGCTGAGCTCTGGAAACTCTTATGGCTTGCTGATGAGAGTACAAATTGGTGCAACTGCTCTGTAGAGCAAGTTGGTAATCTCAAGCAAAATGAAGGTGCATATACACCACGACCCAACAATTTTTTTCCCACCAAACATCTCAAAAATACTTGCATATGTACACAAGAAGACATACATAGGAAGACACTGCATTTTGGTAACCCCCAATTTTAGAAACAATATAAATGTATATTAATAGGAAAATTGATAAATTGTGGTTTATTAATTCAAGGGAAATAAAAGAGCTAGAACAGTATCAACCACATTGAATGAGAAAAGTAGACGTATATATACCATTTATATAAAGAATAACAACATGCAAAACAATACTATATATTGTTTTAGGATATACACATGTAATAAAAGTATGAAGACACGTGAAAATGACAATATTTAAACTGAAGAGTTGGTTATTTCAAAAGGTAGGAAGGTAACTGCAAGGCCTCAATTCTTTTTTCTTAGTCTAGGTGGAAGCTACATAGAAACTTGTTACAATGTTCTCTATGCCTTAGTGAACACCTAAAATATTTCATGGTAAAGCAAAGTCTAAGGAGATGGTTGATTAAAGACCACTGAATTTGGGGAGAAGGTATCATGTGGCAATTTCTCTTGCAAGAATTTTCATATAGCAGTTGTTACAAAAAAAATTCAACAGATACATGAGTTTAAAAGAGTGAGAATCAGGGTGCCTGGGTGGCTCAAGCAGTTAAGCGTCTGCATCGGCTCAGGATCCTGGGGTCCTGGGATTGAGCCCCATGTTGGGCTCCCTGCTGAGGAGGGAGCAGGGCTTTCTTCTCCCTCTCTGGGTCTTTCCCCTCCACTTGTGCACTCTCTCTTTCAAATAAATAAAATCTTTAAAAAAAAAGAGAGTGAGAATCAAAGCTGAAATTGTAAAATGGAGGTTGGTGAAAAGTGGAAATAGAATGCAAGACAGAAAATTAAAGATCTGTCGAAGGCAGTCAGTTCTGAAGAGAGATGTGTTTTCTGTGAAGAAAGCCCATGTACATCTGACTGCTTAGAGAAAGGAGCTTCCAATTCAGAGTTCAGGATACTGAAGAAAAGAGGGAAGTCAAGTTTAGCTTTAATGAAGACAAGAGTCCCTTCCCTCCAACTGCGGAGAGACCTTCACAAGGTCAGATGAAGGAAAGAGGTGACAGAGGGAGGGGGTAAAGTCAAGTGTGGTGCATGTCCTGTCCAGGGGCTGTAGGAAGACTTCAGGGACTCCAGCCTACATATTATTTTTTTAATTTTTTATTTATTTATGATAGTCACACACACAGAGAGAGAGAGGCAGAGACACAGGCAGAGGGAGAAGCACGCTCCATGCACTGGGAGCCCGACGTGGGATTCGATCCCAGGTCTCCGTGATCATGCCCTGGGCCAAAGGCAGGCGCCAAACCACTGCGCCACCCAGGGATCCCTCCAGCCTACATATTAAAATGTACTATCTGTCTTTGTCTCACCTGGACTGGGATCTCCTGGGCCCTTTTTCTCTGTCATCCATGGTTCTTGTCCCTTCTCCAACTGGGATATCACACTAGGTTTGGAAAGCTGATATCCTGCTTATAAAGTAAAAAAACGAAAACAAACAACAACAACAAAAACCAAAACATGAATGTTATGCTGAGTTCTAAGAACCATCCCCAGAATTTCTATCCTCTGGTATTCAGGGTCTCTTCAGATGGAAAGGGGCACCACAGAATGTGTTTCTACTCTAGCTCTACCAAGTAAAGCTGTTCCCCCAAGGAATGCGACATCTCTGATACAGAACCCAAGGCCAAGCTCCAGGAGATCCACAACATTTAATAATTTAAAAATAATGACTCTCAGGTTTTCTGGGTCAATGTTTTGCCCATCCTTACCCACTGAGACCAGGTTCCCATAGTTCTCCAGCATCACCTCCCGGTATAGATTCCGGTGAGCAAGGGACAGTTGTCCCCATTCCTCCTGGGTGAAGTCCACAGATACGTCCTTGAAGGTTAACAGTTCCTAGAATATTGAATATATTCCTTTTCAGACAAGAGACCACTTCCATCAAGGTCCAAGGAGTTCTAACAGTATTCCAAGTTCTGAGAGATTCTAAACTAGTTTTACTGGGATCCTCCTTTGGATGTGTTTGAAGATCCTCTAGAGATAACCATAAATAAATATTTAGAAAATCAGATGGTCCTATGTGCCTTAGAAAAAAATAAAGCAGGATAAGGGAGGAACATGGAGAATCACAGTGAGGGTAGAGGGGAATCTTTTATACAAGGTGGTGGGGAAAAGGTGATATGTGACCAGAGACATGAATTCAGTGAGGAAGAACTATGTGGAAATCTGAAGGGAGGGCATTCCAAGCAGGTACAAAGGACCTAAAGGAGAGCATCCCATTAGAAACGACAAATACCCACCATTTGCTTCGACGTGGATGGAACTGGAGGGTATTATGCTGAGTGAAATAAGTCAATCGGAGAAGGACAAACATTTTATGGTCTCATTCATTAGGGGAACATAAAAAATAGTGAAAGGGAATAAAGGGGAAAGGAGAAAAAATGAGTGGGAAAGATCAGAAAGGGAGATAGAACATGAGAGACTCCTAACTCTGGGAAACGAACTAGGGGTGGTGGGAGGGGAGGAGGGCGGGGGGTGGGGGGTGACTGGGTGACGGGCACTGAGGGGGGCACTTGACGGGATGAGCACTGGGTGTTATTCTATATGTTGGCAAATTGAACACCAATAAAAAATAAATTTATAAAAAAATAAAAATAAAAATAAAGGAGAGCATCCTTGGCTTGTCTAAGGAACAGGAGAGTGAACAGCATCACTGGTAGAGGGTGGTGAAGGAAGAGTAGGAGATGAGATCGGGGGGGGGGGTGCAGGGGAAAGGCTTTAAGCATTTATTGTCACAACCAATGCATTCCTGCTGAACTTAAATTTTGGGGCCCCACTAGAATTTAATGCAAAGATGACAAAACTGGAACTGTGGTGGAACCGCAGCCTAGCTCAATACTTGAAGAGCTGAAAAAGATCAGCCCCCTAGCTGTGGTAGCGTGGGCTTTTGTAGTTGGCTTCATCAGAAGTGAATTCAATCAAATAAAAGCTGTATCTCAGCCAGAGCTCAGTCACAGCTGTAGGGGGAATATGAATAATCAGTGCCTCACCTTAACCACCAGACAGAGGAAAGGGCTTAGTCTCCTGGAAATAAACAGAACTAAACAAACTATATTTCATCCCCTACTGTTCTTTAATACCCAAAACCTGAACTACTATAAAAAATTGTCATACATGTGAAGGAGAAGGAAAATCTGATACAAGAAAATACAAATCAATAGAAGGAAACTCAGAGGTGACCAAGTCATTGGAATTAGCAGACAAGAAGTTTAAAGAAATTATTTAAACGTATGTTTAAAAAATGTACCATAAAGTATGGATAGAGGGATGCCCTGGGGTGGTTCAGTTGGTTAAGTGTCTGACTCTTGATTTTGGCTCATGTCATGATTTCAGACTTGTGAGATTGAGCTGCTGGGCGTTGAGCCTGCTTGAGATTCTCTCCCTCTGCCCCATCCTGGCCCCACTTGCTCTCTCATTAAAAAAAAAAAAAAAAAAAAAGGATAGAATAGGGAGTAATTGAGGACAGAGAGAGAAATGCTAAAGAACTAAATGGAAATTCTACAAATGAGAATTATAATACCTGAAAAATCCACTGAACACACTTAGGGGCAGATTGAACCCTGACAAAGATGAGATCCATGAAACTTAAGACAGGTATTAATTGAATAGATATTATTCAAACTGAAGCACCAAAAAGATTAAAAAAAACCCCACAAAACTCTAGGAGAATGCCAAGTGGTTTAATATACATATAATTAGAATCTCAGAAGGAGATAAAAGAATGGGCTGAAAAAAATTAAGAAATAAAGGTGGAAAGTTTTCCAAATTTGATGAAAAAAAAAGTCAAGCCACAGATACAAGAAGCTTAGCAAACCCCCAAAAAAGTAAATTCAAAGAAAATCATCCCTATGCACATTGTAGTAAAACTGCGGAAGAGCAAAGACAAAAGGGAAGATCATGAAGGTAGCCAGAAGAAGGTAGGAAAGGAGGAACAAAAAAAACAAGAAAGGTTGGTATAAACAAACAAACGCATGTCACCTAGAGGGAAAGAATACTAACAGCTGAAACCATACAGGCTAAATAATCATGGAACACTTTTAAAGTGCTTAAACGAAAAAAAGTCATCCCAGAGTTCTATATCCAGCAAAAGATCCTCAAGTAGGAAGACAAGAGAGACATCTTCAGTCAGCAAAAGCTGTGAGGATGCATCAGAACAGCCACGTTACAGAAATGCTAAACATTCCTATGGGTGAAGGGAAATGATGCCAGTTAGAAATTTGAAAATAAAAGAAGGAATGAAGAGTGCCTCTATTGGTAATTACATAGAATCTGAAAAAACTTGGTCTCTTTCTTCTTCTTAATTTCTTTTTTAAAAAAATTTATCTACTTATTTGAGAGAGAGAGAGAAAGAGAGAGAGCAAGCACAAGCAGGGGGAAGCGCAGAGGGAGAGGGAGAAGCCAACTCTCCACTAAGCAGAGAGCACCACATGGGGCTCCTCCTGGGACCCTGAGATCATGACCTAAGCTAAAGGCAGATGCTTGATCTACTGAGACACCCAGGACACCCCTTCTTTTCTTAATTTCTTAAAAACAATTTACTATTTAAAAAAAAAAAGAGGAGAGTGTGCTCTCAGTGGGGAACTTGCTTGAGATTCTCTCTCTCCCTCACCTCATCCCTCCACTTTTGCATGTGTGTGCTCTCTCTCTCTCTCTCAAATAAATAAATAAATAAATAAATAAATAAATAAATAAATAAATCTTTTATAAAAATTAAAAAATAAAAATAAGAACAATGTACTGTGGGGTTTCTAACATGTAAAGTGAAATGTATAACAATATACAAAAAATGGAAAAGAGTAAATGGAATTATGAGGCTTTCATGCCACATGTGAAACAGTCTCATATTAATTCAACAGTGTAATAATTAATCTAACAGTATAGTATTAGTATTAATTCAACTCAACAGTATAGTATTAATTTGACTGTATAATATTTATTCAATAGTGTAATATTAATTCAATATTATTTCAACTATGTTAAAAATGTGTATTACAATGGCCAGAACAACCACTAAAAGAGAATCACAAGTACAGCTAAAAAAGTCATCAGAGGACATGAAGTGGAATACCAAAAAACTAAGCAATCCATAAGGAAGCAGAAGAGGATCAAAGAAACAAAGATGGGTGAACAGCAGACAAAGAATCAGACCACACACTTAATCCCACTGTATCAATGATTATGGTAACTGCAAATGCACGAAACACGCAAGAACTGCTGTATGTAAGGTCAGACTTTAAATGTAGAGACACAGATAAGAACTGAAAAAGCCATGCCATACGAACAAGAACTAATAAAAATACTGGAGGAACTACAGTAAATCAGACAAAGTGGACTTAGCAGAAAGAATATTACCAGTCATAAGGAAGACCCATAAACTGTTGGTTCAAGACAACAATCCTACCCATGAACACATCTAACAGAATTCAAAATAAAGCAGAATTGACAGGATTGAAGGGAGAGATAGATGAAGATTTTAAGACTCTTTTCTCAGTAATTGATACAAGTGGACAAAGATGCATCAGGGATACAGATTTGAACAACCTATCAGCCAATTTAAACTAATGGACATTTGGTTTCAACTGCAGAATATAAATTCTCTTTAAAACCTTTTATTTTGAGATCATTATAGATCCCCAAGCAGTTGTTTTTTTTTTTGTTGTTTTGTTTTTGTTTTTGTTTTGCTTGCCTTTATTTTTTTTATTTTTTTAATAATAAATTTATTTTTTATTGGTGTTCAATTTGCCAACATACAGAATAACACCCAGGGCTCATCCCGTCAAGTGTCCCCTCAGTGCCCGTCATCCACTCATCCCCACCACCCCCCCCCCGCCCTCCTCCCCTTCCACCACCCCCAGTTCATTTCCCAGAGTTAGGAGTCTTCATGTGCTGTCTCTCCCTTTCTGATATTTCCTACCCATTTCTTCTCCCTTCCCTTTTATTCCCTTTCACTATTATTTATATTTCCCAAATGAACGAGAACACATAATGTTTGTTCTTCTCCGACTGACTCACAGTTGTTAAGAAATAACACAGAGGGGATCCCTGGATGGCTCAGCGGTTGGGTGTCTGCCTTCCGCCCAGGGCGTGATCCTGGAGTCCCAGGATCGAGTCCCACTTCGGGCTCCCTGCATGGAGCCTGCTTCTCCCTCTGCCTGTGTCTCTTCTGCCCCCCTCTCTCTTTCTCATGAATAAATAAATAAAATCTTAAAAAAAAAAAAAAAAGAAATAACACAGAGGTCCCAGGTCCTCTCTACTGGGAACGAAGCAAAGTTTTGACTGGAAACGGGGATGAGGGAACTTTCTGAGATAGTGGAAATGATCTATATTTTGGTTACATGGTGTATACACATGCCAAAATAAAACTGTATACTTTATTTTTTTTAAGATTTTATTTATTTATTCATAGAGACACAGCTAGAGAGAGAGGCAGAGACACAGGCAGAGGGAGAAGCAGGCTCCATGCAGGAAGCCCGATGTGGGACTCGATCCCGGGTCTTCAGGATCACGCCCCGGGCTGCAGGCGGCGCTAAACCGCTCCGCCACCGGGGCTGCCCAACTATAGACTTTCTTAAGTGTATTTTCCTATAGGTAAATTGTACCTCAATTTAAAGAAAATTAATCTTTTCCTAGTGCTAAAAATCCCAGCAGTTTTTGATAAATGTCAAGAAGCCAGGAATTCCAGATAAGTGCAATGTAGACGTAACTTTATTCATTTTTTATTTTTTTTATTGGAGTTCAATTTGCCAACATATACCATAACACCCAGTGCTCATCCCATCAAGTGCCCCCCTCAGTGCCCGTCACCCAGTCACCACCACTCCCCCACCCACCTCCCTTTCCACCACCCCTTGTTCATTTCCCAGAGTTAGGAGTTGTAGAGGTAACTTTAATTAGACTATTATAACTTCTTTCCTATTACCAAATAATTCTGAAATGCATTTCAATCCTAAAATGAGCATCTGAACCAGCCAAGGATATCGGGATTGTAAACAGCTAAAGAAAATTGCCCCCATCACCGAGTAAGTAAATACAAGAGATGTGTTCAAATCCTATACCATCTAATCTCAGAACCCAAGTTCTTTTCACTTAAAAACTCTTCTGTCACCGAATAATATCTCATCTTTAATAGTCCTCCTTTGTCACTCATCCTGCAATTTTCCTCTGGCTTCTATGCTTCCAGCCAGCAGTGAGGACACCCCATTATAACTGCCCATCCTGTCTAACGTGTGCTGTGTGGACAGACCATTGCTTCCCCACTTACTTCTCTGGGTGCAGTGTCACGTCTGCTCCCAATATTATACTGACGGTCACCCTAGGAAGTTCACCAGCGATATGTGTACAGCACTTAAGGATTTCAGAACTTTCATCTTCCTCAACATAGTTTGCTTTTGAGTATGAAATACTTAAAAAAATTGATGTACATCTTTTGACTCCACATGGTATCTGTTTGGTTTTAGGCGCTAGAATTCTATCACTTATTTTGCTTTCTCTATGGAAATTAGCGCAGCGTTCAATCTAGATGTTGGTCACAAACAAGTTACAAGGAGGGAAGCCACTATGAGTAGGGGAATGGCCACCACTGTAGCCCAGTTGTCTGTACAAAAGGAGCTTGTACAGAGCTCCCTCTAATGGATCTGTTAGCCCCAACACACCCTCACACCAAAGGGGGGAAGAAAAGAAAGACAAGAAAAGGCAAATTATAGCCTTAAAAACCAAGCAGGAGGTCAAGAAAATGAAAGGAAAGCAACCCACCTGGGATTCTGCTGCTGGCAACCGAGAGGTGAATCCATCCTTCGAACTTTCTCCCTGGGTCTTAGCATCCTGAGAGAGCAGAGCTGAAGAAGGAAAAGGGTCATGAGGTTTGCATCTCCCCAAATCTCCCAAAGAGAAAAAGCACCTGCAGATCTGCTGAACGTGGCTTCTCGAACCATTCAGAGAAAGGGACACTTGGAGCAACTCAGAGCAGTGGGACCTCCTTAATGAGGAGGGTCTGCAGTGCGTTGCTTTGAGCACTGCTACTTCCTGATGGTCAACGCTGGTCCAAAAGCACAGGTCTAGCGGGCCACTGCTCCGTTCAAAGGGTTCTGGCAAGAAAGAAAAATCCACACACTTCCCACGCCCTTCAGGGCGCTCATCTGAAGCATGCTCTCCCAGCATTAGTTCCCGCCATCCACCAGCCTTTATCCGTCCTACACGGACACTGACCACGCTCCTAGCCCTCACACTAGGATGTTCTCCATTCTGTGAACCACTCAAGGCACATTCTGCGTCCTTTCCCCAAATCTTCTACAAAAAAACTCAGACATCTTACAAGGCCCAATCCAATGCAATCTGCTTTGTGAAAATTTCTCCAATAAAAGCAATCAGAAGGATGTTTCTGGTCTCGTCTTCCAAAAGAAGTTTATCATAGCATTTTCTTAGGCTTTTGATGTGGGTATGTGTCTCTCTCCATCAATTAATAAATAGCACTGGAAAACATTATTCATTTTTCCGTTGGTCTACGTGCTTAGCAAGGTCCCTGCCCGACGCAACTAGAATAGATGTCAGCTGTACTTAAAGCGTTAAAGGTATGAACTAAGAGACCACATGAGACACACACATTCCTCTGTCCATCTATCCGTCCTGACCAGACCACCAGGTAATATGTAACCTTGGACACGCTTCCCACTGACCTCCTGTAAATTGAGAGTAACCAAGCATGGCATTCCTTCCTCTCAGGAAAAAAGAACTGCTCCTTGAGAAAAACACTGGCTTTGGGACAAACTGACCAAAACTTATGAAGGAAGACCTTGGGAGGGCTTTAGGGGGCAGAAACTTGTAGGCCCACTGTCGGTGAATCACATATACTTGGGAGCCACTGGTGGGGACACTGTTGTGCACTGGATCTGAGGACTGGAGAAGGCAGCAGCATGGCACACATGGTGCAAGGAGCCCAAGCTCACAGCCCAACATTTCCTCTCATACTTATCCCCCTCCCAAAAGCCACAAGCACGAACCCCAAAGGCTTTTCCCCAATTTTCCCCGCAAGAGACCACCTCAATGAAGCATACACACCAAATGAAGTTTTCACACACAAAGCAAGAATTCTTCAACAGCCTATTCTCACCTTCTCCTTCAAACATCTTAGTCACGTCCTCCCACAGGGGTGCCCCCTCCTTGGCCTTCTCTGGATGGTGCAACTTCACCCACGCGCTGGCCTCCGTGGGCAGGGTGATGAGGAGCTGCTGCAGCATGACGATGCCCCCCCCCCCAATGGGGCCTGTCCGCTTCAGGAGAGAACTGCCAGATGTGTACTGAGAGGCTTCACAGGTGTCGTCTCCTCTGAGCACAATCTCCTGCCCTCAGGACATTGGTGTGTCCCCACGTCACCAGAAGCTGGGGGCTCCTATGACTTTAACAACTCCGAAAAACTGATTTCACTCTTAAATTAAGCACTGCCTCCCGGGGAGGCAGCCAGCTGAGGAGGCCTGAGCGCATGCTCTGTATTCTTCTTGGGGAGCAAAAGGCAGAAGAGGAGGGATCCAGAAGCACCAATCACATAGTAAGAGCTCCAGAGCTTGCAGGAATAAATTTTAAACTGCAAAGGATCCAAAAACAAAGATTTGGCATCAGTGTGGGGATAAGTACAATCAATGACCTTGGATGTGGCTGTCCCCGAGTTCCAAACGCACATACACAAACAGCCAAAGAAGCATGAACCGTGCCTTGACTTCCCTCCTTGCAAGCTGCAAGTACCTTCGGCCTGGGTACAGACTCCCGAGTTAGGAGGCCAAGCTTTCCAACCAGACAGCTTGGGTTAGAATCCCGACACGTGTATTTAAAATCTCTAAGGCCCTGCGACTCTCTGAGCTTCAGGTTCTTCACCTCTAAAAAGCGGATAACAATACTCTACCAGGCTGTGATAGGAATTGGAACCATGTCAGGCAGACAGCAAACCCTTAGTAAATATTCCTATAAACCTTTTTACGGTCCTGCTGCATCACAGCATTATCTTTTAAAGCTGCTTTTTTAAAGACAACTGGAGATCGAAGTGTAAAGTTCCAGTGTCCTAAGTGATGGGATAATCACACCGCTGCGTTTTCACAGCATCAAACAGCGCCCGATGCGTCCCCACCCACGCAGATGCCCGGCATTGGGCAAGTCCTTTTAACCTGTTAAGATGCCTCTCGGCTGGGGCAGCCCTGGGTGGCTCAGTGGTTTAGCGCTGCCTTCAGCCCAGGGCATGATCCTGGAGACCCAGGATCGAGTCCCACATCGGGCTCCCTGCATGGAGCCTGCTTCTCCCTCTGCCTGTGTCTCTTCCTCTATTTCTGTGTGTCTCTTGTGAATAAATAAGTATTTTGAAAAAAAAAAAAGATGCCTCTCGGCTTCAGAAAGGTTAAAATTGGGAGAGGGGGACTGGTTCGGATGGAGGGAATACAGGACTCGGAGTATCAGGAGGACTGCAGAGCCGCTTCTAACGGGAAAATGTGCAAACAACTCCAATCTATCCTCTCATTCCACCAACACCCCCGCCCCGCGCCCCGGCCGGGCCCCGGCCCCCGAGCAGGTGCCTCCGCAGCGACCGGGTCCAGCACAGCCGGGCCCCAGCACGTCCGGGCTCCGCGCAAGGGAGCCGGCCCAACTTCTTGAAGTTTGTGAGGAGGGGTAGGTAGCTTCGGGGCTCCCCCGCCCCGCCCCGCCCCGAGCACAGAAAGGAGCCGCATCCCGCACCCCGCACCCCGCAGCCCGGGGACACATCCTGCCCCCAGCACCCAAAGTAAACGTCCAGTTACCCAGAGCGGGGAAACTTTCGAAGCATCACTTGGCAGCTGGCCGGGCTCGGGGCTCCCCGGACCCAGGCTGCAGCGCCCGCGCAGCCTGCCCAGCGCGGCCCCGCACGCGGCTGCGATCGGACGCGGCGGCGAGGGCGCTCGCTCCCGAGCCTTCCGGCGCCACCCGCCGCCTCTTCGGGGGACCGGGCGCCGGCGGGTTTCGTCCTCCCCCGGCCTCCGCAGACCACATGCCCCCGCTCCCCACGACCCTCCAGGCGCCCCGCGACCCCGCAGCCTTCCTTCGGGAGCCCGCACGACCTCGGCCTCCGCCGCGGCCGCGCGGCTCCTCCGGTTCCCCGCGGAGCCGGCCTAAGGCCGACCGCCGCCCCGCATCACGCCGCCGCCCTCGCGCGCCCGCTCCCCGCGCCGCCCCGCCTCGTGGGCCGCAGCCCGGCTCGCCCCGCGCCCCGCGCGCCCCCGCCCCGCCCCCCGCGGCCGCGCAGCCCCCCGCCCGGCGCGCGCCTCTTCCGGCGGCTCCGCGCGCCGCAGGCCCCGCCCCCGAGCCCGCCCGAGGCCCCGCCCCCGAGGCCCCGCCCCCGAGGCCCCGCCCCCTCCCGGGAAGGAAGGAAGGAAGTTGCGCGTCCGAAAACCCGGCGCCGGAGCGGCCTGGTCCACCTGTCGTTCAGCCTCCGCAGGCTCGAGCGTGGGGCGGGGATCAGGAAGGCCCTGCCTCCTGGGATCCGCGTCCGTGAGGCACCGAATAGGTGATGATGTCGAACGAGAGACCCAACCCAGTGCGGCCGCAGGGCTGCCCGGCCCCGCCCCTGCGTGAATGGGGTAGCCGCGCCCCTGGGAGGCCGAGGGGAGCCGTAGCGACCGACGAAATGAAGGGCTTTATAGGACGGAGGGTGGGGCGAGGAAGTTATTAGCAGAAGAAAAGATTGGGGACCCCTGGGTGGCTCGGAGGTGTGGCACCTGCCTCCAGCCCAGAGCGTGACCCTGGAGGCCCGGGATCGAGTCCCACGCCGGGCTCCCTGCATGGAGCCTGCTTCTCCCTCTGCCTGTGTCTCTGCCTCTCTCTCTCTTCTCTGGGTCTCTCATGAATAAATAAATAAAATATATATAAAAAAAAAAGATTGTTCCAGGGGAGGTCCCCTTCTCTGAGGGGTTAAAGCTGGAGGTGCAGTTGGGTGCATTACCTCGTTTGCCTCTCGGGGCTGGGGAGGCCCGTGTGACATGTGAGCTTAGCGGTGCCAGAGCCCCAGATTCCTGGTTGACTACATTCCTGGGGGTGGTTAGAGCTGCAGTTAGCTTGCGTACTAAGCCCTGGTTTAATGACTTGGCCTGAGTGGCCCCATTTTGAACCAGTGGTTTTCTTCTTAACATTAGAAAAAAAAAATGAAAGAAAAATAGGTAACAGGTGACTGGTAAAGGTCACCCCACATGATGGTGAGGGCTATGAGGGAGCAGCGTGTGGAAACGGGATAATGAGGACTTTATCTTTCTGATAATAGCGGGGCTGGGATATGTATTTATATCAACCCACCTCCAAAAACAATTAAATTAAAAAACTATAAAGTCTGCGGCCGCCTGGGTGGCTCTGTCAGCTAAGCATCCAACTCTTGGTTTCGGCTCAGGTCATGATCTAAGGGCTGTGACACCGCGCGCCACATCAGGCATGGAACCTGCTTGAGACTCCCTCTGTCTCCCTCTCTCTCTCCCTCTCAGAAAAAAGAAAAAAAAAGTCTGAAATCTATATTTTTAATGTTCTTAAAGGCGTGCATTAGTTTGCTAGGACTACCGCAACAAAATGCCACAGACTGAGTGGCTTTAAACAACAGAAATTTGTTTTCTCCCAGTTCGAGGCTGGAAGTCCAGGATCCAGGTCTCAGCAGAGATAGGGAAGCTGAAGGGGATCCATTTTACTTTTTTTTTAAGATGTTATTTATTTATTCATGAGACACACAGAAAGAGAGGCAGAGACACAGGCAGAGGGAGAAGCAGGCTCCATGCAGGGAGCCTGATGTGAGACTCGATCTCAGGTCTCAAGGATCACTCCCTGGGACGAAGACAGGCGCTACACCATTGAGCCACCCAGGGATTCCCCAAAGGGGATCCATTTTAGAAAGGCTCCATCTCTGCTGTTGCTTTGCTAGGCCCCATTTCCTCATGTTCTGTATTTCACCTTGCATCTGAGTCAACCGAGGAAGCTATATGTTCCCACTCCAGAGGGGAAGCAAGAAAATTTACCACCGTCTGAGTTTCCTCCTAGGCCCCCATGTACCTGATAACATCTAAGAACAACCAGATCTGAGCTCCAGGACATTAGCTTTGAATAAGCTTCTGTCAACACTGGCGTCAATACCCCGTCTTCAGTGGTTTCTAGAATAACAGCTATTGTTCACCTAACAGTCACCTTTAATGAGACTTGGATTCCTAAAGGCACACATATCCTGGACCTCCTTCCAATATAAACACATAACCCCAAGCAACGTAGAAACTCCCCGCTCCTCTTCTGAGGCTCCCAGACACTCTGCCAACTATACTGTGTCACTTACACTATTCAGTAACCTCTGCTCTCACTTCCTCCTGGCTCGAGCTTGATTTCTGTCCTGTGCAGAGCCGAGGACCCTCTTGGCTGGTCCTGCAGGAACCCCTCTGGGTCCTTAGACAGGCCTGCCTCCATCAGCAGAGTTTGTTTCTCCTGAGGCCTCACTCCTTGGCTGCAAATGGCTGCCTCGCTCAGTGTCCTCCCATGTGCTCGCAGGTCCCTGGTGTCTCTCTGTGTGCCCAAATTTCCTCTTCTTGTAAGTCAGGTTGGATTAGAGCATACCCTAATGACTCATTTTATCTTAATCACTTCTTTAAAGTGATTAATATATTCAATCAGTCTAGTTCTGAGGTACTAGAGGTTAGGGTTTCAACATATGAATTTGGCAAGGGCTTGGGGGGGACACAATCCAGCCCATAACAAGGTGTCTAAGAGATGGCAAAAAAATATATATAGAAAGTCGGGATCCAGGGGGTAATCCAACTTGTAAAATGCTTTTGCCATGAGGAAATGTGTTACTGACATACATATATGGAGTAGGGGGTGCTTGCTGCTGGCTGGGGAGGGAAGGGAGGACGTGACCAGTGAAGGTCAGTGAAGTGATATGGGGTTGGTACAAGTGGGTTGGAAGAATTTTTCAGACTGGGTACTAGAGTGCATCCTCTGGAAAGAAGTACATCCAAAAATTGAGTGCACGTGTGTGGTAAAATAAATAAATAAATAAATAAATAATTAAAAAAAACCACAAAACAACCCCCACACACATAAAATTTACTATCTTAACCACTTTTCAGTGTCCAGTTCCACAGCATTAACTGTATTCACATTGTGAAACAGACCTCCAGAACTTTTTCAGATTTCTGAAAATCTGAAACTCTATATCCATGAAACAAGAACTCCCTGTTACCCCCCTCCCCCTAGTCCCTGGGAACCACCATTTTACTTTGTTTCTATGAGTGTGACTACTTTTGATACTTTATATAAATGGAATCACATAATGTTGTCTTTTAAAAATATTTTTAAATTTATTTTAGAAAAAGAGAGGGACTGGCAAGCAGAGGGAAGAGCAGAGGGGGAGGGATAAGGAGAAAGACTCTCTCTCTTTTAAAGATTTTTTTTGATTTGGCAGAGAGAGAGAGCACGCACACAAGCAGAGGAAGCTGCAGAGGGAGAAGGAGAAGCAGGCTCCTTGCTGAGCATAGAGCCTGACTCGGGGCTCCATCCCAGGACCCCAATATCATGACCTGAACCAAAACCAAGAGTTAGACATTTAACCAACTGAGCCACCCCGGTGCCCCACAGTGTTGTCTTTTTAGATCAAAGTTTTCACGTTGGTATATCTGGGTTCTGTCCTGTTTGTTTTCTTTATATATCTCTGTGTTTTCATAAATGAGTATTTATCACAAGCTGAAAGAGCATAAAATGCAATATTAATAATTTCTGGTTTTGAGTGGCTACGGGTACCTAGCATAATAAACCTGTTGTGTGCTATTAAAAATGCCTCTTGGGATCCCTGGGTGGCGCAGCGGTTTGGCGCCTGCCTTTGGCCCAGGGCGCGATCCTGGAGACCCGGGATCGAATCCCACGTCGGGCTCCCGGTGCATGGAGCCTGCTTCTCCCTCTGCCTATGTCTCTGCCTCTCTCTCTCTCTCTCTGTGACTATCATAAATAAATAAAAAAAATTTAAAAAAAATGCCTCTTGACAGATGAAAAAAAAAAAAAGAGTTTGACCAAGATCACAAAGCTAGAGGAGTTAAGAGTTGGAATTTGAATAAATAGTTTTATGATTTCTGAATGCAAACTCTTGACCACTTTGCCATGAAGGTTTAGGATCTGAGCACAACCTAATATTCAGTGAAGAACAATTCCAGTTCCAAAGGCAGCTAACCCATGATCCTACCTGTATAAAAGCACACACAAGGAAGACTCGAAATAACCCAAATAATACTGTGTTATCCCTGAAATGGACGACAGTGAAGCATGATTTTAGCTCTGTCATTATGTAGCAAAGTGTCCAGATTGGCATCCCCCGCCCACCTCCAAACACCACCTGCCAGTAAGAATTACATTTTCTTTTTTTTTTAAAGTAATCTCTACTTTAATAAAAATTTTTTAAAGTTTTTATTTATTTATGATAGTCACACACACAGAGAGAGAGAGAGAGGCAGAGACACAGGCAGAGGGAGAAGCAGGCTCCATGCACCGGGAGCCCGACTTGGGATTCGATCCTGGGTCTCCAGGATCGCGCCCTGGGCCAAAGACAGGTGCTAAACCGCTGCGCCACCCAGGGATCCCTACATTTTCAATATTCTGAGAAAACTAGTGAAACCAGTAACCAAAGCGTTGATGGTACTAATTGCACCTGCAGGCTAATAAGCACATCCACAACTTTTTACCCTTTTTGTTTGCCTTTAAATTCCCCCAACTCTCCTTGGGAGAGGTGGATTTGAGATTTGCCCTCCAATCTCCTTTCCTTGCTGCATGCTCAATGTTTGATTGTCTTTGCTGTCCATTAGATGGGTGAACTTGGGCTTGGTTACATTTTGGGGAGGAGCTCTTTGACCATGGCTCATCAGCCCTCAGCCTGTAACAGGAGCCCGGTGATGGGTCCTAACAGCTGCCTAGGCTCTTTGTCCTGGGGACCGTCCCCAGGGCCCCAACCTGATTGGGTGCCTCCAGCTTAATTTAACTCCTGTGGCAAGGAAACAGTTTTGGGTTTGGTTTGGACAGAAGTCTCTAGCTGAGGATTTCATATGGAGGGCATGTGAGCTTATTTCTTTCTCCTGTTTGGTTTAGATCTTATTTTTTCCTCCCTTTCCAATGCCTCCAAATAGGGGGTTGGAGTTCTTTTGACCTCCTTTTCTAAAAAGTTGATGAGGAAGCTGTTTGGTTGAGTCAATGAAGCCCTGACTTTTGGGGAGAAACCAATGCTTACAGAGGTTGGGTTTCATTTGGTTTGCTTGTTACTGCATCTCTTGGTATCTTTGGATAAAAGTGGCTATGTTCCTATGGGAAAATGGGAAACAATTTGATCCCCATATGCAACCCTTTGGGCTGTATTCTCCAAAGTTGGGCAATTATTTTTCATAATGCTGCTTGGCCACAATACAGAGAAAAATGACCAGTGAGTGGATCCCTAAATTACAACACCATCTTGCCATTAGATTTGTTTTGTAAAAAGGAGACATTTGAAAATTGGGCCTTTAAGATTTTGCTTGCATCTTGTGTGTCCATGTATGTTATAAATGTGAGATATTTTCTCTATCTCCAGGTGATATTGCTAAAATTAACTTATAAATTATCTCTATTTAGTTGGTTTAAAGCAAGTGCTTGTAGGAATTGGGCATTCTAAAACTCAAAGATAGAAACTAACCCAAATGTTTTATAAGTTCACATGCTCTTGGAAAATGTTTAGTCTTTTTTTTTTTAATATTCAGTCTTAAAGCTAATTTAAGGTTGTTGGCTTAATCAAATGGAAATGTCTTTAGAATCATCAGCATTATATACAAAACTTTTATTCTACTTATATTTACTGAAATTCAAATAAGTTCATGTTATCTCCATTGCAAAATTTGTCAGGAAAGGGGGGAAAATCCTTAGAAGTTTGTCTAATGCCTCATGAAGTTTTATGCATAATCTAAGAGTAAACAGATGTGATACAAGTGAGACTGGTTATTTAAAGAGAGACAATATCAACAGAAGCCTTGATTGACTCTCTGAGGAGTTCTAAAAGTTGGATTACCCTTCAGACCATCCTAAATATGGGGCAAAATGGCTGGACTTTTATAATGGTCATTAGATGTTAACAACTTGGGCAGAGGGTATGCCCTTTGACAAGACAGCTGTCTTCAGTTAAGGGAACCCCTGATGGCAGGTGAGAGTTGAGGACTATTGGCCACATTCCCTACACGGTCTGTAATTCCTAGTGGGGATTCTGGTCAGCATATCACAGCACCCACCACAAAAACTCAGATCCAAGCAGTGCCCTGCATGTCCTTGTCTCAAGAAGTATATATCAACATGGGAGATGACAAGGAAGAAAAAGGAAGGTCTGCATGATTTCTTTTAAAAGTTCATCTTGTTGGGGCACCTGGGTGGCTTAATTGGTTAAGCGTCTGCCTTCAGCTTAGGTTGTGATCTTGAGGTCCTGGGATCAGGCCTCAGGTCAGGCTTCCTGTTCAACAGACAGCTTCTCCCTCTCCCTCCCTCCGACCCTCAGCTCGTGTTCTCTCACTCTCACTCTTTCAAATGTTTTTAAAACTTCATCTTACCAAAACGAGTTTTGATATTGGAAGTATAAACCAGTATAAGATTGGAGTTTGGTTTTCCTCTGTTAATATGGCAGTTTTCTTGGGTTATCAGTTAAAGTTGTAAACAAAGATTCTATATCAGCCTAGAAAAACAAAGTTTTTATATTTTGTCTTTACAATCAAATCTTCTCAACATTAAGCTAACTCTTATTAATGATGTAATCCTCTGTATTTGCCTTTAGAATCATATTGCCACCTTGGCTAAGCAGATTATTTAAAGATTTGAGAGAGAGAGAGAGAGAATGCATGTGCATGAGCAGGGGAGAGGGGGCAGAGAATCTCATGCAGACACCCCCCTGAGCATGGAGCCTGACACAGGGATCAATCTCATGACCCTAAGGTCATGATCTGAGCCGAAATCAAGAGTCTGACACTCAACTGAACCCCCTAGGTGTCCCAATTATTGTTTTTAAATAAAATGTAAGCTTATTTAGGGATGTACTTTAAAATCTATTTCAGACAAACCTCCCAAAACTCAACTTCTAAATGAAGTCTTTTTGACTATTAGGCTTATTATGTCAAATCACATGGGAAGCATTGTCAAATAAGTGATAAGCCTCCTCAGGTTTTTATGGTAGATTGCTATAAGTATTTCAGAAACTATATAAGATTTCTACGGTTAAAGACATTATAGCAGGACATATCAAAAGTTCCAGTGAAGCAGATTTTTAAAAAATAACCCTGTAAGATCATTATTCTTGCTGTGCTTATTTGGGGGCAGTCATTTATGTACTCTGCAGCAGGAATGGTGAACTGCAACTCTCAGGCTAAATGTGACCAAATGTGTTTTTTACATTAAGTTTATTGTGTACTGGAACAGAGCTACACTCAATTTGTTTATTCAGTGGTTTTCAAGTACTTCACAAGTGCAATCTTGATCCCCAGGGCACATCTAGCAATGTCTGGAGACATTTTTGGTGGTTGTTACGATAGGTGTGGGGGAATTATTGGCTCTATTACTGGCAACTGATGGGCAGATATACTGCCAAACCCATTATGGTGCACAGGACAGCTGCCCAAAACATCTGGCCCAAAATATCAACAGTGCAAAAGCTGAGATATCCTGGTTTATGTATTTTTCTGGATGGTTTTGCGCTGACACGGTAGGGTTGAGTGGTTCTGACAGAGCTCATATGCCCCACACACCTAACATATTTACTATCTGGCCCTTTATGAAGTTTGCCAATTCCCTTTAAGAAGCCATAAAATATACTTCAGTATTTCATGTGTAGTAGGTTACCAATCAATTCTAGAAAGCTTCCTTTAAGATTATTTCTTCTAGAAATGAGCCAACCAGTATTTTTATTTATACCCCTTTTAGCCATATAAAGGGTTATAATAAAAAAGTTATATTTTATTCTGATTATTTAAGGGATTATTAAAACAGTGATTCTCAAAAGCCAGTCCAAATAGCCATGATGAACCTTCCACTGGCCCATAATGAAATGAGAAAAATAAAAACAAATTTGGGAGATTTTCATAAACCTAACTTAATTCAATGTTAAGAGTTATTCCTAATGATTACATCCTCCCTATATTTTAAAATATTAAAATGCCCTTTCTTTTCTGAGACAATGTTGGTAACAGGAAGTTTCTTTATTATGGCAAAACTGATAGTTTTTAACACTGGGTCAAGTCATTAAAAAAAAAAAAAATCCTTGCTTCTTGAAATCCAAAAGTCAGAAAACCTCTGATTTAGAGGCTTTTGTTCCATTATGAGGATTATTTGATGTTGAATGTATGTCACATATCATTGCTGAAAGTATTTCTTAAATGTGTTTTGCAATGTCTAATAAGTGATGAACTACAGCTGAAGGCTTTTCCACATTCATTACAATCGTAAGGTTTTTCTCCAGTATGAATTCTCTGATGTTTAGCAAAGGATGAGTCGTGCCTAAATGCTTTTCCACAATGACTGCATTCATAAGGTTTCACTCCTGTGTGGACTCTCTGATGAATAGAAAGATGAATTCTCTGGCTAAAGGCTTTCCCACATTCCTTACATTTATATGGTCTTTCCCCAGTATGAGTTCTCTGGTGTTGAGTTAGGTACGTGCTATGACTAAAGGTTTTACTGCATACATTACAAATGTAGGGTTTCACACCAGTATGAATAATCTCATGTTGCCTCAGGTGTCTAATCTGGAAAAATGCTTTTCCACAGTCTTTGCATGTGAAAGGTTTCTCTCTAACATGAGTTCTCAGATGCTGGATCAGCCCAATGCTCTGGCTGAATGCTTTCTCACATACACCACATTCATAGGGCTTCTCCCCAGTATGAATTCTAACATGTTGAGTAAGAGATGATGGATGTCTGAAGGTTTTCCCACATTCCTTACATTCATAGGGTTTCTCACCAGTATGGATTCTCTGATGTGGAATAAGGGATGAACTTTGGCTAAAGGCTTTTCCACATTCTTTACATCGGAAAGGTTTCTCTCCAGTATGAATTCTCATGTGTTCTGTAAGGTGAATGAGCTGTTTGAAGATTTTTTCACAAATAGTACATTCAAAGGTTTTCATTCTTGTATAATTCCTTGAATGATTAATCAAATCTAAATTGTATCTATTTCTCTTTCTAGGTATCTTATATTTATGGTCTTTTTTTCTCGGAGGACCTTCTGGTCTTGGAATAACTTTTGAGCTCACATTAATACTTTTCTCAAATCTGTTAGATTCTTGGCCTCTCTCCTGAGTGAGTGTTTTCTTGTGGGTCAAGGGAATTTTCCCCTCACCCACTCTTTGGTTTTCCTGGTGGCTTTCTAACTTATCACATTTGGAGAGTCTTCCCAATGTGGAATATAAGGTGTTTCCTCTTGTGGACTGTTCCATCATGAGGCCATGGTGTAATCCTTCCCATGAAATATCATTCTTTAAGGAGGACTCGCTGGTTTCTGTTTTATTCTCCAAGTCTGAAAGAAATCCCAAAATACAAATGACCCATATTCAGTGCACTTTAAGAAATAAATGGCCATAGTGAGAATAGGAGGGGGGAAAATTAACATGTACTAAGCAAAGAAACCTTGGGCTATCTTCAAATGTAGTTCTGCCCCCTAGAGAGTAATATAAAAATAAATGAAGAAATTGTAAAAGGAAAGCAGCTGTTAGAATATGTGGGCTGACTTTCAGGAATTGGGAGGAGTTCATCCATGTGAATTCCAGAAGGAAGTCAACTAAGAAAAGAGCATCACTGTAAGGGCAGATAGCAAGAGATGAGATTAAGGAACACAGGATTCTTGTACCATATTGTCTCAAGTCCAGATTTCTATGACAAAATCTTCCCTATAATAAAAAAAGTTTTTTTTCAAGTATTTATCTCATACTTTCTACACATTAAAAGAAAACATTAAATAACATAGGAGGGACAGCCCCTCTCCATTTCATCTCCATTCCCTTAGTTTCCTAGGATTTTGGAATATATCCATTTAGATATTCCCAAAAGTATGTACATGTGAATGTGTGTATTTATGTATGTATGGTCACAAATATACATTTGCACAAAAAAGGTAATATATATATATATATATATATATATAATTTATCCATCTCTTTTGTTTTTTAACCCAACCAAATCTTACAGGCCCCCTTTCCATGTCTGTGTATTTATATTTATCTCATTATTTTTAACAAGTACATGCATTCCATTGATGGGCATATAATAATTTGACTTCTCTACCGACAAATATTTAAGTTGTCTCCAGTTTTTCATGTTATCATTATAGAAACATTTGTTTACATTCCTGTCAATACTTCATAGAACTTAATAAAGAGGAATTACTCGTTTCTGGGTACGTGTGCTCTCAGGAGACATGTGTCCTCTCAATATGGGTGCCCTTCCCTTCAAGTTCACTGGATTTTTATCAATCTTCATAATTTTTGCCTATACCTATAGGAGGTGAAACATGGTCTTCTTAATTTGTGACATATTATTAACTATACTATGAAATCTTAAAGGATAGAGACTATATAGTCTATCCACAGTATATATGGGGCAATATTTTGAGATGAGGGAGTTTCTCTAGTTTTTATTCTCTTTCCATTCCCATCAATCCATTTTGGACTCTGCCATCCTAAACCACCAATATTTCCTGTTCACAACAAACTCATTCCCCAGAATTTCTAACCTCACCTTAGGATCAGCACATACAAAGTGCTCGGGAATAGCTTGGTAAGTCTTAGGGTGGACTTAAAAAGCAAGAGAGAGGTGGGCAGCTCAGTTGGTTAAGCACCTGACTCTTGGTTTTGGCTCAGGACATGATCTCAGGCTTATGAGATAAATCCCTGCGTTGGGCTCCATGCTGAGCATGGAATCTGCTTGAGATTCTCTCTCTCCCTCTGCCCCTCTCTCCCACTTGCACTCTTACTCTCTCTTAAATAAATAAGTAAAATCCTTAAAAAAAAACAAGTAGAGATGTTTTCATTACTTATTACAGGGAATAAGGAGTCACTTAACTTTTCAGCGTTAAGAACAAGATAAATGTCATATTTCAAGAGGTCAAATCTGACAGTAACATTCAAAATGATTCAGAAAAACAACAAAACATTAACAAATACAACGAAAAATCATAGTAATAGGCATGAGACGCTGGGACTTGGCTTGGCACTGCATCACCAAAGATGAAGAGGAGAAGTGTTTCTAGTAGGTAATATCAGAGAAGCATGAAAAATTAGGGAAGCACTGAGAGTAGAAAAACATGATACAGTCTTGCTGATACCATAATATGTGGTCTTTGAGACTGAAAGAATAGAGGAATCAGGATAAGAAATTTGCTTGGGAGAGAAGATGGTCTGTTTTCGGATGTATTGGGTTTGAAGTGACAACAGCACCCAGACAGAGATGTCCTAAATGCCAGGGATATATGGGAATAGAGTTCATATGGATGTATAAAACAAAGATGAAAATATGGAGAATATTGGTGTCAAGGAACAGCCAAAACCATCACAATGCATTTGTGCAGATATAGAATAGCAGCCCCTCAAGGATTGTGGCAGACACTACTGGGTATTCACCAAAATAAGTTCTTCCCATTTTAGACACACAACTACACTATATTTCCCAATCTTTCTTTCTTTCTTTTTTTTTTATTTGAGCGAAGTGATAAAGGTTTCTCCCATAAGTGACTCAGAGTGAAAGTCATGTGAACCACTCACTCCAGGCTGGCCCATAAAAACCTCCCAGATGAGCTCCTGTGTGCTCTTATTCTGTGCTGGCTACACTTAGATGAGGAAGAGGCCCTAGGGAATGGTGCAGCCACCATGTGGAAGAAATATCCATCTCCAATTCACTGGATGAAAAAGAACTATCTATTGGACTGACCAGTTCCTCCAGACCTATGAGCAAGAAATTCCTCTTCTGCTTGAGCCACACTTTAGAGTCTATATGCTATAGTAGTTTAGCCTATCCTAATAGAGGTGGAAATGACATAACTGCGTTAAAAAGGATATTGATGAGAAGCACTCTGAAAAAGCAGGAAGAGAAAGAGAGAGGAGATAAAAATTATAAACTGGCTGGTGGAGGAAAGGATAGATACCAAGGTGGCCAGGTCTATGAACCCAATGCTGTCGAGTAGAACACTGCTGTTAAAAACACAAACTGTGGAATAAGAAGGATTAGAATTCAAATACCAACTCCACTGACCAGTAGCTAAGTGATGCTGGACAAATTTCTTAACCTGTGAGCCTTCTTTTTCTCCTCTGTAAGATAAGTCCTAAGTTACCTGAAATAAAAAGTTAAATTACACAAGTTAAAAAGAGAATCAGAATTGAAGCTAGGATTACAAAATAAGATTCAAAAAAAATTTTAATGGAACTGTGAAAGAGTGAAATCCATGATAAAATAACATGAGAATCTGGTGAAGGGTGCTGTACTTAATGAGGAGGGACCCACGAATACCTGGATGGACAGGAGAAAGCAGCCATGATGAGAGCAAGATTCAGAATGGGGTTTGAGAAAGCAAGAAAATCTTGAAAGTTGGGACAGGAGAATTAGTCAAGAAAACTAACTCTCATGAGAAAAGCATCTCTTTCCTATTCCAGGGAAACTAATGAGAAGAGGCAAGTGCAGAGTAGTAATCAGGTTTCCTGTGGGTCCCATCCTGGTGGCATGGTCTTCCCCAAAGCCTGGAGAAGGCTTCAAGTGGAGCTCTCTAGCAAACATGACAGAGGCCCCACCTGCTTTGCTCTTACCTGAACTAGGACTTCCTGAAATCTCTCTCTCGATCAGCCATGGCTCTTCTCCTTTCTCCAACTGGGAAATCACACCAGGTTTGGAGAACTGATATCCTGCTCACGAAGAAGAAAATATTGCATGTGCTGAGGTCAAAGAGCCAACCCAAGAATTAAAAGATAGTTCTTTGGTATTCAGGCCTGCTGAGGGCTAGGGCAGAAAGATCAAGGCAGAAAAGACCACAGCAATCCTGACTTGCTGTTTAGAAGGAACTAGAAACCTGTATCACAACCCAAAGCCTGGGCACAGTAATTTGGTTAGAAATAAAGATTTTCTTACAACAGGTAGGTTCTAGTTTTAAGGGGAACTTATCCTTACCCACTGAGACCAGATTCCCATAGTTCTCCAGCATCACCTCCCGGTATAGATTCCGGTGAGCAGGGGCCAGTTGCCCCCATTCCTCCTGGGTGAAGTCCACAAATATGTCCTTGAAGGTCAACAGTTCCTAGAATATCAAATTTGTTCCTTTTCAGGTCTAACATTGCCTACATGCTAAGAGATTCTAGCCAAGTTTTCTTGGACACTCTCTTGAAAATTAGTTGGCTGACTCTCTGCAGGAGACTACAACACAGTGCAGAAAACATGTAAGTTGCCTTTTGCAACTTATGATATGGCTGAAGGAGAAATACTCATGAAATATTAAAGTAGGTCTCAGAACAGTCTATGGTAATTTGGATTAAGGACAATAAAGATCAAAACTATTTGAGGGAGGGGAGAGTTCAAGACAGGGACTTTGGTTGGGCTGAGAATGAATTGTTAAAATAAGAACATTTCAGCATGGGTAAAGCAGCATTAGCTGGGTGTTTCTGTTAGTGAGCGAAGTATGTGAGAACAGCGCATTTCTGGAGGGAGCACGGATCCTGCCCAGTAAGGAAGATTTGACCAAAGCAGACACTGTGTTGTGAAGTACAAGAGCCTGTCATGTATGACCTACATACATTACATAACCACCTTGCGGTTATTTTTAAAAATATTACCAAATGCAAAAAGAACCCAGAACCCAGAAGAGTAAGATAATAATACATTCTTTATGTATGAAGATGATTATAATGCTTTTTATATATTATAAATAACTCTGGAAGGCATTTCAGGCCTATGAGCTGACAAGAGCATGCACATTTAACCCATTAGAAAACTGAATCTGAGAAATGTTAAAGATAGGTGATTAAACCCTATACTGTGTTATTTTGGAAGCTAAGATTGCTCCACTATAAAACTCTTCTGTTCTCTAAGAATATCTCCTTCTATATCGATTTTCTCTGATTAATCTATTAATTTTTTAAAGATTTTATTTATTTATTTATTTATTCATTCATTCATGAGAGAGACAGAGAGAGAGAGAGAGAGAGAGAGAGAGAGAGAGAGAGAGAGGCAGAGGGAGAAGCAGGCTCCATGCAGGGAGCCCAATGTGGGACTCGATCCCAGGACTCCAGGATCATGCCCTGAGCCAAAGGCAGACACTTAACCACTGAGCCACCCAGGCATCCCGATCTATGCTTTTCTTGAGTTTCCCTGATTCTGGGTTTTGGTAGCACAGAGCTTTGTCCATTGCCAGTGCCAATAGTTTTATGATTAGTTCATTTATGATACACAGACACTTCCTACTGCTCTTGGAAATTTTCCCTCCTTCTCTGGTCAGCCTATTTAGCTTGTGCCCTTCATGATCTGCCAATAGTTTATTTCCCTTTTCATCTACAATTCTGCTCCAAAACATAACCAGATATCCTCGCTTAAAGGTCATTAAAGAAGCATATACATCTCCAAGAATATCAGAACTGCATTCTGTTAATCTTTAAATGCCGCTTAAAATGTTTTACAATGTTTTGTCTTTCCCCCCAGAAGACATCTGTGAGGTTTTAGGGCAAGGACTACATTACATACTTTTACACACATACACATTTCAGGGCAAGGACTACATTACTTTTACACACACGTACACGCACCCACATGATTTTTTTCAAATTTTTATTTAAATTCTAGTTAGTTAACAAATAGTGTAATATTGGTTTCAGGAGAATTTAGTGATTCATCATTTACATATAACACCCAGGGCTCTTTATAACAAGTGCACCCCTTAATGCCCATCCTCCATTTAGCCTATCCCCCATGATTTTTAATTGTGTTGGATAAATGGCCAGAGGTTTGCTTGAAACAAGAAGGTTCCTGAGGAACCTTCTATTATGGTGAACTTCTATTATGAGGAACCTTTTACTATTGGTGGGAAACTTACCTGTGAAATCAACCAATGTGGCCTGGTTTGGAACAGGCTAAGGAAATCCAATCCAGCAAATTGAGTCAAAGAATATCAAAGTCCAAGGCTCTTAAAATCTGAGAAACAATTTCAATAAAGTGACAGGAAACTGCAACCCACCTGAGATTCCACTGTCGAGGGTGCAGAGGTCACTTCATACTTGAAACTTTCTCCCTGGGTCTCATCAGCATCCTGAGAGAGCAAAACTGAGAAAGGAAAAGAGCCATAAGGTTTGCCTCCCCTGCCCCCCGCCCCACCAAAAACAGAAAACCGGCTTGCAGACCTGCTGAACTTCAGGCTCCTCTCTCAAAACATTTACAAATAGGGACATTTAGAGCAACTCAGAGCAGACTGGAGCTTCCTTTTTTTTACGTTTTTTTTAACATTTCATTTTTTTATTCATTCATGAGAGACAGAAAGAGCGAGAGGCAGAGACAGAGGCAGAGGGAGAAGCAGGCTCCACGCAGGGAGCCTGATGAAGGACTCGATCCCGGGCCTCCAGGATCACACCCTGGGCCGAAGGCGGCGCCAAACCGCTGAGCCACCTGGGCTGCCCTGACTGGAGCTTCCTTAATGAAAAGGCAGCTTCTTTAGATATTAATACTTCCCAATGGTCAACACTGGTCCAAAAGCACAGACATACTGGGCCACTTCTCTGTTCAAAAATCCTCAAAGCTTCCCCACTGATAAGAAAGAAAAATCCAAACACTTTCCCATGGATTTCAAGATCCTCCATAACCAGTCCATCTTTGCTTCTCTAAGTATTATCTCCTTCTAAACACCCTTCTTCATCCACTAGACACACCCAACCCACATAACTACTCACTGTTCTTGAACATACATCCTACTCGTTGAAAAACTGAGATGTCCTTCTGGACCAGTTTAGGTGAAGTTTTCTCAAACACTCTTTTTTTTTTTTTTTTAATTTATGATAGTCACACACAGAGAGAGAGAGAGGCAGAGACACAGGCAGAGGGAGAAGCAGGCTCCATGCACCGGGAGCCCGACGTGGGATTCGATCCTGGGTCTCCAGGATCGCGCCCTGGGCCAAAGGCAGGGGCCAAACCGCTGCGCCACCCAGGGATCCCTCAAACACTCTTAATGCGAAGAAAGCTTCCTCTTCCCTGTACTCTTCCAAGGCTTGTTTTTATCTCTACTCTGCTATCTTTCTCCGACTGCCTCCTATTATATTTATATAATTATCTCCCTCAATTGAATATTAGTATGAATATATGGGTAGAAACTATCCAGTTCATTTTTTTAAATCTGCTAAAGTGTTAGGCATAATACTCTGCCAGGTTGCTAGAATTCCAAAATATTGGCTGAACGTGAGGTATTAAAAATATAAACTAGGGGGATCCCTGGGTGGCGCAGCGGTTTGGCGCCTGCCTTTGGCCCAGGGCGCGATCCTGGAGACCCGGGATCGAATCCCACGTCAGGCTCCCGGTGGATGGAGCCTGCTTCTCCCTCTGCCTGTGTCTCTGCCTCTCTCTCTCTCTCTCTCTCTCTGTGACTATCATAAATAGATAAAGAAAAAAATATTTTAAAAAAATATAAACTAGGAATTAAGGCACACGAATTGCTGTCCTGGTATTTTCCCCCCACTTCTTATCATGAATATTGAACACCCATGCATCCACCACCTGCATTCAATGACTGTTAATATTTGCCATATTTTCTTCATCTATTTTTCTGAACCATTTCTTTTTTTTTTTTTTAAGATTTATTTATTTATTCATGAGAGACACACAGAGAGAGGCAGAGACACAGGCAGAGGGAGAAGCAGGCTCCATGCCGGGAGCCTGATGCAGGACCCGATCCCAGGACTCCAGGATCACGCCCCAGGCCAAAGGCAGGCGCCAAACCGCTGAGCCACCCAGGGATCCCCTTTCTGAACCATTTCAAAGTTGCGGACATTATGATATTTCATCCCTAAATATTTCATTTTCTTTTTCTTTTTTAGATTTTATTTATTTGACAGAGAGAGAGCGCACAAGCAGGGAAGCAGCAGGCAAAGGGAAGGGCAGAAGAAGACTCCCCGCTGAGCAGGGGGTCCAATATAGGCTCCATCCCAGGACACTGGGATCATGACCTGGGCCGAAAGCAGATGCTTAACTAACCGAGTCACCCAGGTGCCCCCCCCTCCCCAAAATACTTCAAATAAGGATCTTCTCCTGCATAACCAAAATACCATTTATCACATCTAAGCAAGTTAATAATTTATATTTAGATTTCCTCAACTCTTCTCAAATTATCTTTTATTCTGGATTTATTCTGACCCAGGAGCCAACCAAGATTCACACATTCAAAGTGGCTGTTATCTCTAATCTCTCTAGAATAGTACTTCCCCTTTTCTCATGACACTGACTTTTTAAGAGACCAACAGTCTGATGGTGCTACGTTTACCTTCTCTATCCCTTGTATTTTCTTTAAACCAGAAGTTCAGCCTTAAGCTCAATTTAGGATCATGTTAAACATTTTGGCAGAATTCTTCATAGGTGATACCATGTGCTTTATATTACATTATCCAGAAGGCACAAAATGTGAGCTTATCCCACCAGTGGCACACTTGGTTAAGACAGTGACCCCCAGATACCACCACTGGAAAGGTGTGTTCTTTCCTTGGCATTTAGCAAGTAATTTATGGGGGCAATACTTTGGCACCATGTGAATACCCTGTCCCCCATTATTTCATTTATAGTAAAATATTCTATCATAATATTCTATCATAAATATTCTTCCATTTTTATTGGCAGACTATTTTCTGTAAAAAGCTTTGCCTCAACAACTGAAAATGATCTCAAAAGCAAGATAAATGTATTATTCCTTGTTCCCACAATAATTTATTTTCAAAGTAAGAAATAAGCATATGAATCAACACCACTGCCAGTAAATGAGTTTTTCCCCTTTCTCTATTTTGTCATCATGAACTTATGGAATTTTATTTATTCCAGTGTTAACAATCAATCTGGATACTTAGCAGTCTTCTAAAGGTCTGTCCAAACTGCCCAACCTGCTGATACATGTCCATCTTGCACTCTTCCTTGCTTTCTAGCACAAGACACTTCAGGCTCACCTAGTCTTTCCCTGCTGCCTTCTACTCCTGACCTAGCCACTAAGTGCCTGCACAGGGCTCTCATTTGATTCACATTTCCTCACCGTAGGGGCACCTGGGTGGTTCAGAGGTTGAGCATCTGCCTTTATTTTTTTTTTACTTTATTTATTTATTAATGAAAGAGAGAGAGAGAGGCAGAGACACAGGCAGAAGGAGAAGCAGGCTCCACGCAGGGAGCCCAACACGGGACTTGATCCTGGGTCTCCAGGATCACACCCCGGGGGGGGGGGGGGGCAAAGGCTGTGCTAAACCACTGAGCCACCCAGGCTGTCCGAGCATCTGCCTTTAGCTCAGGTCTGATCCCAGGGTCCTAGAATAGAGTTCCACATCAGGTTCCCCGCAGGGAGCCTGCATCTCCCTCTGTTTATGTCTCTGCCTCCCTGTGTTTCATGAATAAATAAATAAAATCTTTAAAAAAAAATTCATCACTGTAAAATAAAGAAAATCAGGCAAGTCTTCCCAGCCTCACACACCCACGGGGGAAAACGAAAAGAAAGAACCTACACAGGCATGACACATACTGGTTTCGGGTTGAACTGACCAGTAGTACTATCCTGGAAACCCCCAGGCCAGGTGCCATAATCAAGAACCCCAGACACCTTTTACCCAAGTGTCACACCAAGGGATGCTTCTGCTCAGGTGTCTACCTCCCTTCTCACACTAGAGGACGACGCTGCTTTTCCTCCTTCCCACCAACCAGCCTATTCTCACCTTCTCCTTCAAACATCTTAGTCACGTCCTCCCACAGGGGCACCCCCTCCTTGGCCTTCTTCGGATGGCGCAACTTCACCCACGCGCTGCTGGCCTCCGTGGGCAGGGTGATGAGGAGCTGCTGCAGCATGACGACTTCAGCACTCCTTTCTGGAGCTCTCCGCCTCAGCCCACGAGGCAGAAGGTCCTATTTGGGCATGGCCACCTTCGATAAGGAAACTGCTGGAAACTCAGGCCTCGCGGTGGTGCTGGAGTCCCCCACGCTCAGGCACCCAGCGAACAGAGTGTACCCAAATCCGGAGTCGGGACCTTTTAATGTCTAGGCTCACAAGGCCCATCTCGTCTTGCGTTCCATCGGTCTTCTCAGCAGGCAGCTGGAGGTTCCACCTCGACAGCCCCCTGGTGATGCTGGACAGAAAACATTAGTCGGCAAAAGGGCCTGGAAATCGCTCAGTGGCACGGTGAATTCTAGAACTTACACCGATCAGTGAAAACTTTTTACGAGAGGTACGTGGAGACGGTGGACATGCACGGCCCACGTGGGCCAAACCACTGCGCTGGCGTCATGAGCACGGACATGAATAAAGCCCAACTCCGCTGCAGGTGCACGATGCTTACACTAGTCTGGAGGTTTGGAATGCCAGCTCCGGGGCGTCGCCGGGGCCGCAAGTCACCGACCCCCGCCCGCCCGCTCCCGTCCCCTCGTCCCGCACCGGAGGGAGTAATAACCCTTTCTCCAGGCCTGGACCTCGCAGCCTTTGTCTGAGCCTGACCCGGGCGCTGGGCGCACCGCGCGCCACCCTCACCCCCTCGCCCCGCTCACCCTCCTCGCCCCGAGCCCCCCCGCTCGCCCCGCGCCCCCCTCGCCCCGCTCACCCCGCGCGCCCCCCTCGCCCCGCGCGACCCCCCTCGCCCCGCTCGCCCCTCACCCCGCTCACCCTCCTCGCCCCGCTCACCCACCCCGCCCCGCTCACCCCCCCTCGCCCCGCGCGCCCCCCTCGCCCCGCTCACCCTCCTCGCCCCGCTCACCCCGCGCGCCCCCCTCGCCCCGCTCACCCACCCCGCCCCGCTCACCCCCGCTCGCCCCGCGCGCCCCGCTCACCCTCCTCGCCCCGCTCACCCCGCGCGCCCCCCTTCGCCCCGCTCACCCCGCGCGCCCCCCTCGCCCCTCACCCCGCTCACCCTCCTCGCCCCGCTCACCCCGCGCGCCCCCCTCGCCCCGCTCGCCCCCCTCACCCCGCTCACCCTCCTCGCCCCCCTCGCCCCCCGCGCCCCCCCCTCGCCCAGCTCACCCCCCCCCCGTCCAGCTCACCCCCTCATACGGCCCGACGCCCTCCGCGCAGCGTCGAGACGCCCCCACGTAGCGCGGCCGCGACCTGTGCGCCTGCGCGGCAGCGGCCTCCGCGCGTGGCTCCCAGCGTCCTCCGGGGCAGCCTGGGGCTCGCGGCGCTTCGCGGGATGCTCGCCCCGGGGCCGCGTCACTCCGGGCTCGCGGGCGGCCGGGGTGGGGGGACGGAGCCGGTGCCGCGTCACCACCCCCACCTGCTGAAGAAGCTGTCTCCCCTCTGCCCGCAAGGGGCAAGGGACTGTTGCCACCGGGAGCCTGGAACCCTCGACCAAAGGGAAACATCTGTATCTTTTTTTCTGTCCAAACAACATTGCTGTAAACGAATCCATACCACTTTTATTTCATAGGTACGTGGAAAAGATTGAAAATGGAACGGAATCCTGTGTTTTACTAAAAGAATGATCGGGTCTTTTTTTTTATGCTAGCATTCAATAAATTCTTAGGTTAATTCCTTTCTTGCATTTCTGAAGTGCCAGAAAATACCCAAAAGCAAAATAATTATTACCTAGAATCTCATCAAGCAGAGATAAGCACTGCTAATATCTGGTGCAGACTTACCTACACACACCACACCATTTTTTTTCATGAATTTTTATGTATTCTCTGTACAAATGATTATACTGTAATGCACTTTTATTGGTAGGTTTTGTCTCCTTAACAAAATAGGAGTACACCATTCCAAATACACTTCTACATCAGTAGCTTACAAAAACAACAATTTAGAATATAGAATGAAACTATGTATTGGCTAGCTGTTCTGGACTGAGTCTTTGGGTCTCCCCACCCACCTCTGCCATTCATATGTTGAAGCCCTAACCCCCTAGTGTAGCTGTATTGGAGAGAGGAAGCAATTATGGTTAAGTGAAACCATAAGGGTGGGGCCCTGATCCCACAGGATTAGTGTCCTTATAAGAAGAGACATCAGGGATCCCTGGGTGGCGCAGCGGTTTGGCGCCTGCCTTTGGCCCAGGGCGCGATCCTGGAGACCCGGGATCGAATCCCACGTCGGGCTCCCGGTGCATGGAGCCTGCTTCTCCATCTGCCTGTGTCTCTGCCTCTCTCTCTCTCTCTCTCTGTAACTATCATGAACAAATAAAAAAAAAAAAAAGAAGAGACATCAAATGGCGCACTCCCTCTGAAGGTGCAGGCACCTGGGAAAGATCATGTGAGGATTTAGCAAGAAAGTGGGGGATCCCTGGGTAGCTCAGCGGTTGAGCACCTGCCTTTGGCCCAGGGCGTGATCCTGGGGCCCCGGGATGGAGTTCTGCATCAGGCTCCCTGCATGGAGCCTGCTCCTTCCTCTGCCTGTGTCTCTGCCTCTCTCTGTGTGTCTCCATGAATAAATAAAATATTAAAAAAAAAATAAGGTGGCATCTAATGCTAGAGAATTCTCATCCTAAACTGACCGTGCCAGACCTTGATCTGGAACCTCTTGCCTCACAAATGCAAGAAAATAAATTTCTGCTTAAGCCACCCAGTCTATGATATTTAGTTGTAACAGCCCAAGGAGATTAATGTAGTTGGCATACAGTGTTTACAGAGCATGATGAGGCTTTGTTCTCAGTGCCTTACATATTTTAATCTATTTGGCCATCATAATACCCCCTGAGGCAATTCCCAGTTTGCAGATAAGAAAACAGGTTTGGAAGTTAAGTAACTTGCCCTGCATTATGTAGTTTACAGGCGGTGAATCCAGGCAGTCTGTGCTCCCATTCACTGCCTAATAAAAACACTGCATAAAACAGAGTAAGATGTTAATGGTAGGTAATGATACATGGATGCACACTGTAAAATGATTTCAACTTTTCTGTATGTTTGAATATTTTCACAAAAAATTTTGGGAAATATAGCTAAGAATAAACAAGAATTATATGGGACATTATAAATAAAACTACAAAAGTTACTGATTTAAATGGAGAGAATAGTGACAAGCACCATATTCATGGATTAAAATAGAGCATCCTAAATATGTCACTTTCCCTCCACTTCAGTGCTCCTCCACAAAAATCTCAACTTTTCTTTTTACTCAATTAAATGATTCCAAAGTTTACTTGGAATGGCAGGTATTCTAGAACGGCCAATAAAACTTTGCAACAATTATAAAGTCAGACTTGCCCTACCAATATGGTATATTATCTTGTATTATAGAGGGACAATAATCAAGATAAAACTAATGCTAAAATACACTCATAAATTTGTGAAATGATTCTGGAAGCTCAGAAATTATCAGATTTGATAATTTATTTAAATCTAATATAAAAGTGACATTTCAGGGCAGCCCCATTGGCGCAGCGGTTTAGCACTGCCTGCGGCCCGGGGCGTGATCCTGGAGACCCAGGATCGAGTCCCCCATTGGGCTCCTTGCGGGGAGCCTGCTTCTCCCTCTGCCTGTGTCTCTGCCTCTCTCTCTCTCTGTGTCTCTATGAATAAATAAATTTTAAAAATCTTTTTTTAAAAAGTGACATTTCAAATTAGTAGAGTAATGATGGATTGTTTGATAAGCAGCATTAGGTCACTAGTTAGCCATTTGGGATAATTGTATTAGTCTGCTTGGGCTGCTACAACAAAATACTATAGATTAGATGACTTAAACAGCAGAAATTTTTCTCTCACAGTTTGAAGTTGGGAGATCCAAAGCCAATCTGAGGCCTCTTCTCTTGGTGGGTAGGTGGGTGCCATCTCACTATGTGCTCAGATGACCTGACCTCTTCTTGTGTGTGTATGGGATGAGAGAAGAAGGTCTTTGATATCTCTTCTAATTAAGATACTAATCCTATCCTTATGCCCTCATTCAACCTTAAATACTTCCATAAAGGCCCTTTCTGCAAATATAGTCACTTTGGGACTTCAACATGAATTCAAACACATTTGAATTTAAACATTTGAATTTGGCCAGGACACCAAACACTCAGTCTATAATAGGAACAAATCAAATGGGGTTTCTGTGTACAAAGGGTAGTGGAAAGGGAGGTGGGCGGGGGGTGGTGGGCGGGGGGTTGGGGTGACTGGGCGATGGGCACTGAGGGGGGTACTTGATGAGATGAGCACTGGGTGTTATGCTATATGTTGGCAAATTGAACTCCAATAAATTTTTTTTAATTTTTCCAATTTAAAAAGGGGTTTCTACTGCACACGTTACACATTGTGTCATTTCGGGAAAGTCAAACTTTGCTTGAAAACAAAAGCAAAACTATTGAAATATTCAAAGAAAGGTGACTCTACATCGTTTTGTAATTAAGCCTCTTTTATTTGCAAGTAACAAGTTCACCAGAATTACTTTCTAACTTAAAAGGATGATGGTGGTGGTGGTGGTGATAGTGATAATAATGGGAAGGATTCTGGAGTATTTTTGGGAATCCAAAGAAGAAGTGATTAGCCCAGTCTGTGAAAGGTGAGGAACCAGTATGTCTGGCTGGTGTCCAAAGGGATGCCCTCTGCACCACCCCCCTTACCATGGTTCAGTTTTAGCCACTTCCAGTGTCTGTCACTCAATTCAAAATTCCAGACCTTGGCAAGATCATTTAATCAGCGAGCTGTGACCAGGTGGGCAGGCAGTGTCCTAGTCAATCTGGTTTCTGAGCACTCACCCTCATGAGTAGGGGGCAGTTCTCAACAAAGAAGTGTTTCAGACTGAGAAAAAAATATGTATGTTCCTTGATTCATTTAATGACACAGAAACTTTAATGCTAAAACATGATTTTTAGTACAAAAAAGAATAGATAAATGTATGACTATTTCAAATATTCTAAATAAAATATTAGCAGATAGAACTAGCAATGCATTAAAGATATATATGACCAAGCAAGGTTTTCCCAGGGTGTTCCAATACCAAGGAATATATTAACACAATCCATAATGCCAAGAGAAAAACCATATTGATCATGTCAGTAATCAATGAAAAAGGCATTAATAACCTTTAGCAGTCACTATAATATACCTTTATTTAACAAGTAGTTATAGAGCACTTACTCCTTGTCAACTATTGCTCTAATATACTGAAAACTCAAAGTAAAATAAGAATATAAGGAAACTACTTGAATGTAGACTATTTACAAAAGATCATACCAAATAGTATTCTAAAATGATGCAACACTAAAACCATTTTGATTAAAATCAGAAATTTGCCAGCACAGTATTTTTTAACATTGTCTTGGAGGATTTATCAAATACAGTAATACAAGGAAGCTAGCAAAAAATATTAGAAAAGAACAGATACATATATATAAATATCCTTTTGCTGATAATATATGATAGACCATCCAGAAAAACCCAAGTTTTAAATTAAAACTACTACAATTAATAGGAGACTTTCATCTGAGGGACTTGCCT